CAGGTCTGTTTCCCAAAAAACTATACACTATATGATTCTGTAATTTCACTTACTTGAAGTTCGAGTACAGCCAAAACCAATCTATGATGATGAGTCATATCTAAGATGATGTAAATTAGAATAACGTTTTCCTCCAGGTGTAAATACTGTCTGGAAAGGGGCATGGGCACCTTCTGGGGTAGTGAAGACATTTATTTCTTGATCTAGGTGGTGGAACATATTCATGAACTACACACTTAACATTAGTGCACTTCACTTTTACTACATGCTGTATCTCAAAAGTTAAAAAAAAAAATCCTCATCTGATTGACTCCAAGTTCATGCTCTTAAGCACTAAATCACCATACAGCACTCTGACAGAACCTGGCCACACTCTAAAATTGATTTCCTTGGATAATCAGTTTTTAAAACCATTTTGGTAAGCAATGTATATCTTAATCAAATGAGAGTAAAGACATAGGAACAATAAACCTGTTTTTAAATGCCACAGAATAAAAAGTAGAAAGCATCAATTTCCTGGCTACTGGGAACTTCCCCTCTGTAGCCACATCAGAATAAAAACAATTTTAAACCCTGCTCTAAGGGAATGTTCACAGATACACAGAAAATAATTTGTAACAAAATTCTTAGCATCATCTATGGAAATATCTAAAGCTAAAATTATACAAAATTTAAAAACAAAGTATGTTATGACTTCAGCAACGTTAACACTCAAAAGAAGTCTGAATTTTGTTTAAAAAATTAAGACAAGGGAAGAGGACAAAACTGATGGGCAAAGAGCATGTAACACAGTAGTGGTAAATACAGTGAGGGCAAAAATCTCAATTTTGTAACAAATAGAAAACTCAACACAAACAACTTTTCCCAGCAGCAAACTAATGTGCCACATACTCCTTAATAACAAATTCTCCATCAAGTAACAAGTCCTTCCCACTAAAGCTTTGTTCAGACTAGCAAAGCTTCACCACCAGCCAGCAGGTGATGATGAAATCATTACACCAATTCTCTCAAAGCCTTAACCCACACATACATACACCTCTTAATTCAAGCAGTAATTGCCTCTCCAGAGAGAGAAGTTTATTCATCCTACCGTTTGGAGACACGTTTGGCAAGTACCTAGAAACAGTTATCCCACTTGGGGAGGTTGGAGGGAGACAGCTGGATCCACACTATGGTCTTCACTGAGTGCTTTCGATCATGCAAGCCAGGCAACCTGACTTTCAAATTGTCAGAGCCCAGGTGAACTCATGCTTTAACGTTCTGTACATACCCAAAATGCTAAGCAATTGACTGAAATGATTTTGGTTTCCCCTGGGCATTTGCATATATAACCAAAAGGCCTTTCTGAGAATTTTTCAATATTAGTACTGAAAATGCACCACCACTGGTCATGTTGCAATAGATCACACAACCAATATTATCCCAAGTGCAAGAATTTCCATGTATATAAAAGTAGCCATTTGCATTTATTTTTAAAGCCTTTAACAAACTCCAATGAAAACTAAAGAGATAAATTTTGTGGCTATTAAACAACTTAGAAAGAATTAAAAGCACTGACCCAGTTCGTTAAGAACAGTGTGCTTCAGGCACATTCACAACCGTGGGTCAACATCGCTAAATCATGGTTTTAAAAAAAACAGCATTACTAGAAAACATTAAAACTTAGTTTCAAAGTTTCTTTGAGAAATAAAGGATTCACATTTTCTCTTATCCCTGCATCAGCAGAATAAGCCCCACACACTTCTATCCAGAATATGTTAGCTTTATACCAAAATGCATCACATAAAGCAAAATAATACATTTTTGGATTCTCATTCATTTCCTAATTAACTTTTAAAAAAAGCCACACATTTGAACAAACTGTACAGTGAAAAATCAACTATGAATTACCAGTTCTACTTTCCTATTTTTAGCAAAATACTTAAGTATCTTAGAATTTGAAAAATCTAAATTGTGGTTTTCTTTTCAACAAGGAAATCTTCAAAACTACAGCACACCCAAATACTCAGCTCTCCATAAACCCAGGAAAAAAATTCAATTCATAATTTTTTCAAACATATGTTTACTTTCCTCAAAAAATTACCTCATTCCTTGGATTTTAAGAACTTTATCTATATCTGCCAAATGTGGTTTATTTCGGTCTCAAACCTAAACGGTTCCCACATGGTTCCCATTTTTGGTAAGGGGAAGTTGATGCCTGGATGAACTTCTGTATTGATTACACATGACCACCACTTACTTATTAAGCACTTCTTACCTCTCATGATGCAGAGAAAGGAGTTTGGCAAACATTATTCTATTTGTCCTCAAAAACAATCTTGCAGAGCTGGCACTACCATTCCCAAAGTCAGATACAGAAAATGAGGCTGGGATAATAAACTTACCCATGTCACTAAACAGTATGTGGCAGAATCAAGATCAGTGAACAGTGAGGTTGGGAATTTAAGACTTTTATTGAGAATTAGGCCTTTCCTACTCATGCCATCTTCATAAAAACTAAATGAAGAGCAGTGAGCCCCTAGTGTGGGACATTCCCAAGGGACAAGACAGTATTCTAGAATGAAAAAGTAATTTCAAACAGAAGGCCCAAAGCTAAACACATCTGACAATGTTAATTAAGTGGAGGAAAGGTTTTCTCAAGCACTGTGCTTCCACATTTCCCCGGCCTTAAATCTAATCTGGATTAACAGCACAGAACTCTGTAACAAAATTCCAAATTCCACGAGGCTTAATAACCTCTATTCAAAAGAAACAGAAACAGGAACTAGGACAGTGGTAGTGACCGCCCAGCTGGTCCTCCCTCCTCGTCAGCTGTCAGATCCGCAAGGGCCGACCACGAGATGGCCGGCTCCAGAGCCTTAGGACTGGGTTCAACTCTGGTACCCGCCGCCTTCCTAGATCTAGTCTTGGCTCGGTCGGGCACCTCTTTAACCACCGCATCACCCCCGGAGGCAAAGTTACACGGAAGAACTTGTAAGAAGTAGAAGCCAATATTCACCAACTGGTTTAGCAATCTGAAATCTACAGCAAGGCTCCAAGGGAGGGGCAGAAAAATATGGTACAGTTGTTCTAAACTATCATTCTACGAAGTAGGGGAGCTTCAGGAGGCCATGGGAGATAGGCGAGCGAGAGCAAACATACCACCCCTACGTTAGCAGGTTATTCTATTTGTCCTCAAAAACAATCTTGCAGAGCTGGCACTACCATTCCCAAAGTCAGATACAGAAAATGAGGCTGGGATAATAAACTTACCCATGTCACTAAACAGTATGTGGCAGAATCAAGATCAGTGAACAGTGAGGTTGGGAATTTAAGACTTTTATTGAGAATTAGGCCTTTCCTACTCATGCCATCTTCATAAAAACTAAATGAAGAGCAGTGAGCCCCTAGTGTGGGACATTCCCAAGGGACAAGACAGTATTCTAGAATGAAAAAGTAATTTCAAACAGAAGGCCCAAAGCTAAACACATCTGACAATGTTAATTAAGTGGAGGAAAGGTTTTCTCAAGCACTGTGCTTCCACATTTCCCCGGCCTTAAATCTAATCTGGATTAACAGCACAGAACTCTGTAACAAAATTCCAAATTCCACGAGGCTTAATAACCTCTATTCAAAAGAAACAGAAACAGGAACTAGGACAGTGGTAGTGACCGCCCAGCTGGTCCTCCCTCCTCGTCAGCTGTCAGATCCGCAAGGGCCGACCACGAGATGGCCGGCTCCAGAGCCTTAGGACTGGGTTCAACTCTGGTACCCGCCGCCTTCCTAGATCTAGTCTTGGCTCGGTGGGGCACCTCTTTAACCACCGCATCACCCCCGGAGGCAAAGTTACACGGAAGAACTTGTAAGAAGTAGAAGCCAATATTCACCAACTGGTTTAGCAATCTGAAATCTACAGCAAGGCTCCAAGGGAGGGGCAGAAAAATATGGTACAGTTGTTCTAAACTATCATTCTACGAAGTAGGGGAGCTTCAGGAGGCCATGGGAGATAGGCGAGCGAGAGCAAACATACCACCCCTACGTTAGCAGGAGAGGGAGCCTCCTCGTCAACTCAGGTTTGAAATGTTATGTATTATTTTCAGAGATGAGCTTCCAAGCTGTGACACTTGTGGGGAGTCTCTCAGTTGCTCGTCCCCACTTGAAGGGTGTAAAATACCGTGGCTTGGAAACTAAGGTCACTCGGTTTTACTGCCTCCAGAAGGGTCATCCTGCCGTGCCGGAGCAGCCCCTGGGGGTCCCCGCCGAGCGCCCCGCGCCCACCATCCCAGCGAGGTGTTTTGCAGAGGCAGGCTCACGCCCTCCCTGCAGTCAACCCTTCCCCCTCCCCAGGTTTCGGGCAAGTAACCTGGTTAATCATTCAATGCGTGGAATATTTTTTTAGAGGTCAAAGAGAAAGGTCTTTCCTAAGTTTCGCAGAAACCAGCCTCTGGGGACCGGAGGTGGCAGCGGCAGGCGGTCGGGCGTGAAGAGAGGAAGCTGGCGGTTCTCTGTCTCACAAAACACCTGATCTCCCCTGGCGGCACCGGGGACCCGCGCAGTGCGAGGGTGGGGTGCGGGGGTGCGAGCGCTAAATCACGCACCATCTCCTCCCCAAAACGCCAGTGCAACCCAGATGAGAACTCCTGGCCCCAGACATCCCTTCCCAAATCTTGCAGACCCCGCCGCGGCTCCCCCGGAAGTTGGGGTGCAACGTGGAGGGGTGTGCCCCCGAGCCCGGGCGTGGGCATGGAAAGGGGCAAGAGACTCAAAGGACACGCTGCCGCGGTGCATTCTCTTCGTCTAGGGTAAGGAAGGGGGGGGGCGCCTAAATGCGGCAGGAGTCACCGAGACACGGTGTCCTCCGCTGAGGCGCCGATCGATACGAAGCCGGAACCGGGTTGGGGGCCTAAAGGAGAGCCAGTGAGGGGGCTGCGGAGCGATAAGGGGCGGGAGCGGGGCAGGCCTGGGGAGGTAAGGGGCAAGAAGGGGGAAGCGTGGCGGGGAGCGCACCAGTACGGCCCTACCTTGTCCGGGAGCAGCTCCAGCTCAGCGGGGCGGGGGCGGAGAGCGCGGCCGCATCCACGTCCCGGCCGCTCCGTGCGGCTCAGCCCGGCGACCGCCGCCGCTCACGCTCCATGCGTTGTGCCCGCGACGGGCCGGCCAGGCGGTGTCGGCGGCGGGGATGGCTCCGGCACCGCAGGTCTCCCGCACTTGTTGCCGCCGCCACCGCTGCGCCTCACTCCTGGCTCCAGTTCGCCGCACCGCCGCCGCCTCCCGGCGCCCCCGCCTCTGTCGCCCCCGCCCGACGAGCCAATCAGGCCTGGCTCCGCCCCTCACGTCACCGCCCAGCTGGGCCCGTCGCCCCGCGTCCCAAGTTTAGCGCAGGCGGGGCGGGTGGGTCCGACAGTCGGCGCCGAGGACCCAGGCACTGGTTCCCCCTAGCTTCCAGGGACCTTCGGGTCCTCAAGCGCACACCTGCAAAGCGAAGGGTTAAGCTGAGGGAAAAGAACCCCAGGAAGTAGACCCCTCGGAAAAACCTGGCAGCTACCAGTGCAGAAGAACTATATTCCAACTCCCGTTTAAACTAAATCCCTCCAACTGCAGGCCGCCCCTCTTGTAGTACATTTGATGTTGCGGGACTGCACACCTGGCCTTGGTGAGGACTGCAGAGACCTTTCCGGGACAGACCTAGTTTATGGCTGGCTTGGATTGAACCTGGCCGCCCCTCAGTGCTTGCTCCCCTCCACCACGCCCGCAAAACCCGGGGCACCATGGTGGAAGGTGACTGAAGAGATAACCAGGGCGAACTGGGACTTGATCATTGCTCTCTGCCCACCCAGTCCCTGCCGCCACCTCTTAGGTGACCAAATGCGGGTTTATGAAGACAGCCAGCACATGGAAAGGGGGTAGTTTTAGTTTTTGCGGTGTCTTGCAGAGGGTTCCACCCGCATCTCGAGAAGCCGGAAACACAAAGCGCCCAGACGCTGGGCCAGGAATCCGAGCCACTGCACAGGAGTCAGGGAGGATACCTAGGTGCAGCCTAAATGGCTGAACTTTGACACACACGCCTCCGGCTCCCCAGGTAGAAAGGGACTCGGCGCCAAAGACATCTACCGGCCGGAACTCACATGACCTCAGGCACACCCTCCTCTCCCAGCGCTGCCAATGGCTCGCCAGAGCACTGCCTTCTAAAGTGAGTCCCAGCCGCGGCTGACAACTTTGAGGGGCCAAAGTAAGCCCGCTATACGGGATGGAGAGGTTGCCTTGGTTTGAAAGGCCCAGCGCAACCAGCCCGTCGCGCATGCGCTCCACGGATAGGCAAGCTTGGCCCTGAAAGCGCCCACTTCCCCCCGTCTTTATCTCGCTGGGAAGAAAGCGATTCCCTTTGGATAATCACACGGAGGAATTAAGGACACCCCACTCTCAACTATTTGCATTTTTCAGAAGGCTTTCTGAGATGGAATTAGCCCAAAAGAAAGGAATTGCTACTGTAGGAATTTAGCTACTTAGGAACTCAGCCTCCTCCACTATAGGACCTTCCTCCTATCTAAACTCAGAGCCAAGAACAGCACTTTGCTGCTGCATGCACTGAGCCAGGGGACATGGGCCTCTAGAAACAGAACTCTGAGTCAGATGTGGGAAAGTTTTGATTTGTACACTTCAGACCTTTTTGCTTTTATGTTGATCACATGATTCTCCTAAGCCTGAGACATAAAGTCCAAGAAACAAGTCGAGTTTTTATATATTCCTAGAAAAACATCTGGAAGGATGTTTTACACCGTTAACCAGTTACCCAAAATATGGGATTGGCATGTTGGAAGGTGAGGAGATGAATTTTATACCCTTACTGACTTTGAATTTTGTATTCTTCTAATTATATTAACTTTCATAATTTAGAAGGCTAATAAAATATTTTCAAAGAAATGTAGAGATTAGAAATTCTTTAAGAACTTTATGGAAAGAATAAATTAATAAACAAATGAAGCCTATGTCTTTAATTCTGTGCCAAAATAATTAATCCTGAGTCCATGTTCCATGGTTTAAGTAAAGATATCTCTAGGCTGCTGTTTTGATTTTGAAATGCTATGATGGTACAAGACTGACATCTGAAGGAGACTTTTATATGCCATCAGATTGGTGTATTTTTTCTGTGCCTGTGTCCTCCCTTTAAATCCACTCCCAGTAGCCACATATTCTCAGGGACTGCTAGCCAAGAGATTCTGAGTAAAGGAACTGCTACAATGTCAGCTGGCAACCAACAAGGAAATCAAGCTCTGTTCTTTGCAGTTGCCAAAAGCTGCCCAGGCCCTGAAATTAAAAAATAAGAGCATTCTTTCCATCTTGCAATTAATTATTGCAGCTGGGAGTGTATCTGTAACTGTTATACTGTGTCTTTGGGGAATTACTCAATGCTAAATTCAACACCCACTTGGCTGTAGTCTATACTCTTAGATCAGGGCATAGGTAAAGATGTACTATTCATTTATTTAACAACTATGTTTGACCACCTACTAGATACACAGCACAGGGCTAGGCACTGGATGGGTAAACATAGGAGATACTCTTCCCTCTTGGAGCTCATGGTCTGGCTAGAAAGAGAGGGTTTAACAATTAAATGCACTATCAATTATTCAATTAAATTGTGATATGGGCCAAAGGGAGTAGAAGGTGGCAGGACCATTTGTCTGGGGACTCCAAGAGGAAGGGACATTAACAAATGAAGCCTATGTCTTTAATTCTGTGCCAAAATAATTAATCCTGAGTCCATGTTCCATGGTTTAAGTAAAGATATCTCTAGGCTGCTGTTTTGATTTTGAAATGCTATGATGGTACAAGACTGACATCTGAAGGAGACTTTTATATGCCATCAGATTGGTGTATTTTTTCTGTGCCTGTGTCCTCCCTTTAAATCCACTCCCAGTAGCCACATATTCTCAGGGACTGCTAGCCAAGAGATTCTGAGTAAAGGAACTGCTACAATGTCAGCTGGCAACCAACAAGGAAATCAAGCTCTGTTCTTTGCAGTTGCCAAAAGCTGCCCAGGCCCTGAAATTAAAAAATAAGAGCATTCTTTCCATCTTGCAATTAATTATTGCAGCTGGGAGTGTATCTGTAACTGTTATACTGTGTCTTTGGGGAATTACTCAATGCTAAATTCAACACCCACTTGGCTGTAGTCTATACTCTTAGATCAGGGCATAGGTAAAGATGTACTATTCATTTATTTAACAACTATGTTTGACCACCTACTAGATACACAGCACAGGGCTAGGCACTGGATGGGTAAACATAGGAGATACTCTTCCCTCTTGGAGCTCATGGTCTGGCTAGAAAGAGAGGGTTTAACAATTAAATGCACTATCAATTATTCAATTAAATTGTGATATGGGCCAAAGGGAGTAGAAGGTGGCAGGACCATTTGTCTGGGGACTCCAAGAGGAAGGGACATTTCAGTTGAGCTCTGAAGGATTTATCCAGGCAAAGAGGAAAGTAGAACAGAGTTCCTGGCTCATTCAGGGTACAAAGGGGGATGTTGTCGAGGGGGAAATTGGAGAGTCAGGCAGGGGCCAGATCATGTAGGGCCTAGGATACCATTTTCAGTAAGATCAGTCTGACTACAGTGTGAAGAAGGAATAGGTGAGAGGGAGGAGTGGAGTGGAGGCACAGTTAGGAGGCTGTTACTATAAGTGAAAGGGGCTGTTTGTCTAAGTGGTAGAGCAAGTGGAAAGAAGTAGATAACAACAAGACTTGCTTAGCTAGGGAGGAATCAAGGGGAACTACCAGGTCTCTGCTTCCTCAACCAGATGGAAGCGAGTACCATTTTCTGATCTGGGGGATCCTCAGAGAGGAGGATTGAGGGAGGATTGAGAAAACCTTCCCATTTGGTCAAGGTGGTTTTGAGATGCCTGTGAGATGTTGAGTAGATGGTTGCTTGTAGGGTCTGGTGCTCTGAGGAGAGGCTGGGTTGGAAGCAGCAGGTATAGAAGTAGTAATAAAGACACTAGAGAAGTGGTCTTCTAGGAGAGTATAGAGTCTAACCAGATGAGGGCCTAGAACTGAGCCTTGAGGAACCCTTATCTAAAGACTGGACAGAGGCAAACTATCTAGAAGAGGAGGTGGAGGAGCACCCGCAGAGGCAGGAAGAAAACTAGGAGTTTGGGGAGGTGGGGTTACAGAGCCCAGGAAAAGAATATGCTACCAGGAGGCAATAGTCAACAACACTCAAAATGGCTGAGAGACCCAAGGGAAATGACTGAATAACATCCACTGGTTGAGGGACCATTGTGACTTTCACAGAGCTGTGACCGGTGGAGTGAAGGGGTGAGAAACTGGAACGAATTGATGTGTACGTGAAAGGTGAAGAAATGAAGAAGCACTAAGTGCTGGCAGCCCTTGAAAGGCTTGACTGTGAGTGGTCAGGAAGGGAAAGGAATGTTATGTCAGCAGTGGGTTTATTTTAATTTACGTATTTTCATTATTTTCTTTAAAGATGAAATAACTAGTATGTTTAAATACAGACAGGGAAGATCCTATAGAGAAGAGGAAGATAAGTACAGCAGAGAAAGGACAATGGACAATAAAGTTTCTTAGAGAGGATGGAACTCCAGTGTGGGTAGAAAACCTGACCTCATGCAGGAGAGGGGAAGTTGGAGGAGGACTGAACCAGGCAGATTTGGTGTGGGACATTTAATCCTTCCGCTTACTCCAGGACGTGCAGGAGGCTGGGGGTGGGGCAAGAAGAGAGAAGAGATTCTAAGAGAGTGGAGAAAGTTTGACATAGTCACTGCAGAAGGTAGGAGGGCTGAGATGACCAGAGAAATGGCTAGATGGCAAGGCAGTGTGGCAACCCTCTTGATGGCTGAAACTTGTAAGGTGCCCTTTGGCCCTCCTATGTAATTTCCCCCAGTATAGCTGAGCGTCTGATCTGGTGCAGGCTCAGGTGAGGGAATTGCTAGAGCAAAGGAGCAAATTCCTTTTGCCAAGAAATCGAGAACCTTGGCAAAAGTAAGGTTGATGTGATGCATGATCAGAGAGAAAAAACAGAAGTCAATGGCCTGCAGGAGTCAAAGTGGTCAAGCTCAGTCATGCTGAAAGGAGACGGGGTTGGTCAGAGATCTGGATGCTTAAGCCTGTGTTTCAGGAGGCAGGGAAGTTTAGGGCCATGGCAAAGCCAGGATGTGAGGACGAGAGTAGAGGAGAAAGTGACTGGAGAATGAGGTCAAGAGATTAAGGGGCAGGGTAGTGGATCAGTCA